TTCTTCCTCCGGTGAGCTAGGACTTGCTATCTAGGTAGCCACACTGTGAGCTCCTCAACCACTGTCTTACTCAGTGCTTTTTCGGCTGCTGTGACTTGGCACTGTGACGAGAAGCAGCTTACGGGTAGACGGAGATTCTCTTTCTGACTTACTACGCCGCACCTACATATTACACAGCTGGTTAGAGAAACTGAGGACATGACTAATAAGACTTGCCATCTGGTTTATTCTGCACAAGTCTGAAAAGACACAGAGTGATGTGGGATTTCCCTCTGTATGCTGTGATTACCGTTGATTAATAAAGAAACTGCTTTGGACCTATAGCAAGGCAGAACATAGCAAGGCAGGGAAAACTAAACTGAATGCTTGGAGGAAGAAGGCAGAGTCAGAGAGACGCCATGTAGCTCCGCCAGAAACAGATGCCGGGACTTTACCTGGTGAGCTGCAGCTTCGTGGCAATACACAGATTAATAGAAATTCCTTAAAGTAAGATGTAAGAGTTGGCCAATAAGAAGCTCGAGCTAATAGGCCAAGCAGAGATTTGATTAATACAGTTTCTGTGTGGTTATTTTGGAGTCTGGGAGGCTGGGAAACAAACAAGCAGCCTCTAAACAGAGGAGCCATATATGCCACACATAAACATGGAGAAAAATATGGGAGGACATGTATAAAGGAAATTTAAAAAGAGTGAATCTGATAGCCACAAAGCTTATCACATATAGGATATATATATGCATTTATTTATAGTGATATAATATATATAGAAAATATATATTTGTATATGTATGTATCTGCATTTATTTACAGTAGTATCCTAATTAAAAAATATAAGTCACAAATCCTCACACTTCTATACTGTTTTCTGTAGGACTTGCTTTGTCTAACCCACAATTAAGGCGTGCACAGTGACATCCTCAACCTAGAAGCTACCTCCAATTGACATCAGCTCACAATGGAAAAATTAGTTCTTACCAATGAAATCTCTCTGAGTTTATTAACTACACTTAAGGGTAGGTACCCTCCCAGCAGCAAATGGCCAACCCAAAACAAAGTCAATGGTGTGTGCTTTTGTAGACTTCCTGTCTTACATTGTTTTGTTCAGATTTTTTCCCCTTACTGACCTTCTGTTGTATTCATGATTCTCAATTTTGAGTTTTTATGGATTTATTCACTTCTTTTGTAAGTGTTCTTCATAGACTTCTTTTTCATCTCTCTCAATTATTTGTTTATTTAAGCATTTACTAATAACAGAATGACTCAGATTTTGATCTTGTACTTTGGCTTATATTTTAACACTTTTTTTTATTAACTTTAACAGTTGGCCTGACTTGGCCCATTGTAACTCCTTCAATGGATGGCTGGATCTTTTTGATAAAGCTCTATCATTATGATTATATTTTTCTTTTTTTTAGAAAGAGAGTTTTTTCTTCTGGTACTGTAAAATTTCTTCAGAGTCCTTTTGTACCTACCTGAGCAAGGCCTAGAATCATCTATTTTTCCCATGAAGCCCTCATTCCTTTTAATTGGAAAGAACTAGAAACCAAGAATCATATTGGAAAATCAGAGGTTTTTGCTGTAGCCGAAAGAAATAAGAAGTTTTTTGGGGTCAAGCTTGTGTCATGTGTTTCTCACCACAGAGAACTGACTAACTCTGTTTCAATTACTGAGAAAAAAAGTACAGAAGGAATGGATTTTCAAATGGATGCCAGTGAAAACAGGGAAAATATGTTGTGTGTGGTGGGAAAAATGATGATTTTTCAAGCACCATTTGCTACTATTTCTATGAACTCAGAAATCATCAACCTGACTACCACTTACTGTGAAGTTTTGATTGAAAACAAGAAAGCTACTGGTATCAAACAGGCATCAGCAAATGGCTTGGGCTGTAGTGGTAGCAAGTGAATGACATTATCTTTGATAATTGAATTGTACTTTGCAATATATTTGCATGTGAGTATTGCTTTGAAACTACACACGCACAGAGTGTATTCACTACCAGATTGCTTTCTGGTTTTGCTTTTAAAAATAATTTCACTTTTGCATAAATGGGGCATTTAGGCTGGGAGGAGATCACATTTGTTGTCCTTTGTAATTGTTGCTTCAGCTTGAGTTTCTCTGCTGTTTTCATTGTTTACCTCTTTGGGGAGCAAAGCAAAAAGCAATTTCCTGCTCATTCATCAAAATGCTGAGGCTTCTTTTATTTCATCCCCACTTTAAGGAAGCATGTAAAATATACAAAAAAAGAACATCTATAAGATAAAAATATATATGTCAAACCACTATTGTAATCTAAAGGTTTGTGTGTGTATGTGTTCTTTTAGTCAGGTTTTCCCACCTCTTTTAAATTAAAGCAGGATGTACAGTCTAGTAATTTCAGAACATAGCAAGACAGCCTTCAACTGCATTCTTTGCAAAGACACAGGACTTTTAAGAACGTAGCAGTCATCACAGATTCCTTTGTCTAAAATCTGAAAGCATTATCTTTTTGATGTCTGTTAATTTTTTATCAAATTGTTCTTTAAAGCATTGCTTATCCACTGTAGATATCAAAGATATTACACAAATGCTAAAAGTGGTTTTCATTTGAATTTTCCCGAAACATCACTGATCAGGTCTCTGTGAACATACCTTCAATTGTAATAGGCAACACATCGTGGATGAGCTTAAAATTTGAAATCGATTACACGGACATCAATGGATTAGTAACTCAGTTAATACCTTGGTTATTTGGAAGCCTGGCAAAATGAGACTCACATATTTTGGGGGCTATAAAATATCTCCTTTTCTTCTTTATTTTGACAAGTATCTCTGACTTCTCTATCTTACACATTTAATACTGACTATACTTTGCATTTCATTACTGTCATAAAAACCCATTTCCTATGTCCAAGTGCTGACTATTTTTCTAAAAGAATTGTGCTTTACTTTATAGCAATTATTTTATATTAAGCTTTTTAGTATTTTTTAACAAATATTCAATCTGGGGTCTTTACAGTCACAATAAAATAGGCAAAATTTACTTATATTACTTATAGAAAATATCTGATATATAAGAAATGATGATGAGAACTCTTTTTTTTTATTTTGCAAGACAGGGTTTCTCTGTGTAACCATTCTGGCTGTCCTGGAACTCACTTTGTAGACCAGACTAGCCTCAAACTCACAGAGATCTGTCTGTCTCTGCCTTCTGAGTGCTGGTAAAGAACCCTATATATTTTACTTTTGAGTTTTTCCACTTAATCTAGGTAGACAGATTTTAAAAGTCTTCATAAGAGAACAGGAAGTGTAGTCCAGGAAACTTAATTTACCTAACACAACGAGGAAGAGCTTGATCAAAGACAACAGAGACTTTGTAGCAGATAAAATACACTAAACATTAGAAGCGCCATGAGATTGTCCCCTGCAGGTCTCACGTTTCTGCTTGTTCTTCTAGACATCAACAGCGCATGGCCCTGACTACTCTTCACCCAGGTCACTTTTCAGGTCTCAGTTTATAGCTAAGCATCTTGCTAGCTGAGGCCATGCTTCCCTTCAAAATGAAGAACAAACTAAGTCAACAGATCCCCCATTTTCAGAATCTCTCTCCTGCATTTCCAGTTCCACGCACTTAATGAGCACTCAGAATGTTTGATGTGAGAAAATGACAGCAACTTGAACTGTTTAGATATCATTGCGTCCTGTATTCCAAAACTCAAAACCAAGACAGACATGTTTAACAGAAACAGCTCATATTTCTTATTGCTGTACGCTCTGAATGGTTTCCTAATGCTTTGTTGACTTACAGCTAATAGCAACCATTTGAGGTAGGCGGCACTATTTTCAGCTTACAAATGAGGCTGAGGCCTATAGACAGTTAGCGGTGGGCCCATAGCTATGCTGTGATGGAAATGGGGCTCTCAATTACTTCTGGCTTCCAGCACTTGGGTTCTCAATCATCTAATAGGAAGTTAACAATTTTCCCCTTGTCTGTCTGTCTGTTTCCTCTTCCCCCTCTCTCTTTCTCTTTCTCTGCCTCTACTCGTTTAAAAATAGAAACTTTTATGTAGTTACCAACTGGAAATCATCAAGGAATGTAGAATAAAAGGAACCTGAACGGAAGATGGTCCTAATGATGCCCATATACATATATCATATACATACTTATGATTTCTATGTATATACCGGTCACAGCAACAAACACGTGACTGGACAAATCAGTCAATTCTCTCCGTTCCCCTTCCATCCCTTCTGTTTCTTCTCTTTGTCTCTTTGTCCCATTCATCTCCTCCCCTTCCTCCAGAGGAAGCACCTTAGCTCTTAACTACATTCCCTAGCCCAAATATCATGTTATACTTTATGTTAGGGTTATAGGTAGCTCATAATTTTTTATTGATGTGGGTTTACTCAGCAAAAATCAATGTTGCAATTTGAGGCCACTGGGACTATTCCATGTCTGTACGTAAGAAGCCAAAGTCAAAAAAGATGTCCACACAAACGCATTAAAAGATTGCTAGAAAGCGTGTAATACAGGTGAGCACCCTCGTTCCTCATTGCTAAGGGTATGAGGGACATTTGGCATCTCCTCAGTTGGCCAATAATGTTTTCTAGATTTTCCCCCTTCCTCTAGTTAGAGAGACAAGTATTCTCCCCTTTAAGCCTGTCCCTACTAGAACATTTGGGGTTCTCTACACATCTAAAAAAAATGAGGACTGATGATGTTTAGATGTGAAAAACGAGAAGAAAGGAAAGTGATAAAGAACGGGGTCAAAGCACAAGGCCAAACCAAGTAAAAATCAAAACTCCCAATAAGTAGCCTGGGTTAAAAATGCAATCTAAGCCGCTAGGCTGGGTTTGTGGCATCTAGTTTCCTCTCCAAGCATCCTGGGGCGTCTGGGGTAACTAGGCAACGCGTTGCCCTAGCAACTGCGGACACGCAGAGGGTTAGGCGCTGACCCTCAGGTCCTCCTCTAGTCGGGGGTGAAGGGTCCCGCGATCTCGCGAGAGTTGCCACGCCAGTCCGTAGGACGCCTTGGGGGCACCGAGGGGGCTCCGTGGGGGACCGTGGGGCCCTGTGGGCCGGGCCGCGAGTATGGCTGCTCCGCCTGGGGTGCCGCCGATGCGGGTGCTGGAGGAGGCGCTGGGCATTGGCTTGTCGCCCACGGGCGACGCGGCAGAGGCGGTGGCCGCCGAGGGCGCCTACTACCTGGAGCGTATCCTTCTGGTGCTGTCGGGGCCTGCGCAGTGTCCGTGGGGCACCCCGGAGGAGTCCTTGTCACCCCAGTGTGTCGTAGCGCCCACTGAAGTCACTCTAGGAGTGTAGGTTCATCCGTGGTCCTGAGCATAGGGAAGGAAGCCTCCAGTACTTTACACCTTGTCGACATGAAGGTGCCTCAGGGAATTGATTCAGTTCTGTGATTTAATGGTTGCCCTAAAAAAAAGATCCTCAGAATACCTTCGCAATGGCTTCCATCATTAAGAGGGATGAAGGAAGACCTGTGCCTATGGGCACAGAGATGAACGCACCGACTGCACACATGGTTGTGGACGTTGTCCAACTGTGCCGTCCTAAGTAATTTGCCCATGTATGACTGGCTGCCTTCTTTAGGAGTTTTGGTTTTGGCTATTTAGTGATAGCACTGATTAAATCTATTCCCTCTATTGGGCTACTCGGTTGGGCTACTAAAGCTGACAAATGCTTGGCAGAGAACAGCATCATGATGAGCAGGTATGAATGGGGCTACCAGAAAAATTGAATAATTTTATGTGTATATTTAGGCTCACTAATTTTTGCAAGGCTATAGAGGACTTCATTCCTCTAGGTAAGTGCATTAATTATTCTGGATTAATGTGCACTGTTTGTAAGAGTCATATAAGTTTTTCTTTCAGTAGATAAAAAAAAAGATGACTATCCACAAAGATGTCAAAGACAGTAAAACAATCTCCCTTTATTATTTTACACAGTTATAATCCTTTGTGTCTTAATTCAAGATCTCATAGATCCAGCAGCTATCCATTTGTGATCTTTAGCAGGCTCAGTTATATTCATATTTTAGGGAGTCACACAGAAGCGCGTAAAGAGTTAAAGAAAATATGTAATATTATATTGGATTCTAAATGATTTTTACAGGATGTAAGTCTGAATACCTTGAAATCAATATGAATAAAATAAGTGGATGCCTTAGTGTTGTAATTGAGTCTTTATAATCTGTTTTCATAGCTCAAACAGGATATCTGTCCCAGAATGTTCCCTTTAAAGATAAAAAAAAATATGTTATAATTTCTGAATTCATCTGCATCAAACAATTGCAAAAACTTGTCTGCATGAAAATGAATTATCTAGAAATAGTCTAGTTATTAACATGAGACTAATAGTTTGATAACACCTTGAAGATCTATTTGTAAATTAAATACAATATTCTTACACAATTAAATTTTAAACAAGAAAATCAGATTTATAGAATCTTCCAGAAGAACACTGAATTAAAACCACAACTTGTTTCAGTTTACACACCCATCTTTTTGGTTAACATTTTTTCATACAATATATTTTGAGCATGCTTATCGCCTTCCCCAACTTCTCCCAGATATTGCTCTTCTCCCTCCCTGCCCAATTTTGTGGTCCCTCTAAAACAAAAACAAAAATAAGAAACAAAATCCAGAATAAGTAAAAAAAAAAAAACAACAACAACAACAAAAAACAAAAACAGCATTTCCCCGCAAACCCTCCCCAAAATGAAAGTCAAAACAAACAAAAAACAAAAACAGCATTTCCCCGCAAACCCTCCCCAAAATGAAAGTCAAAACAAACAGGTAAAAGACCAATATAACAAAAATGCCCAAACCAAAATGAAACAAAATGTCTACAAAAACACCTTTGAGTTCATTTTGTGTTTTACCGCTACTCCAGGGCATTAGGCCTGATCTGGAATGTGGAATGTGATATCACCCCGTGAAACCATTGAATAACCTGACTTTTCCCTTGCACACCCCTATCAGTTGCGGATAGCTTCTTGGTTCCCTATCAGTTGCGGATAGCTTCTTGGTTAGGGTTGAGACCTTGAACCTTCTTTTCCTTCCTAACTGGCTTGAAGCTGCATAGGTTTTGCATGTTCTGCCACACTCCTTGTGCGTTCATGTGCTACACACAGATCTTCCAATAAATGCCTTAAGTTACAGTTGCAAATGTAAAACAATCAGATTCATTAATTAGGTAGCTTCTATGTCTTCTTCCATCTCTTTATAGTTGACTGATTACTATTTCATGTTTCAAACAGAAAGCCGGGGAAGGTAGCAAAGGCAAACATCTAACTAGTTATTTTTCTACATTCAGTGTTGAGGGAAGAGGTTTAGTCATGGGAGAGGTTTTAACTATTAGTCAGAATGAAGTTTGAGGATTAATTATGAATGCCAATTATCCTTGTATCCCTGGGCTCTCTTCACATGAGTAATTAGAAATTGACAGTATTATGTTATTTGACATTGTTATGTAAGGCAATTATTATAGTTGCCGAAGTGAGACTTTCTTGGGTTTAAAGTCTCTACCTCTCAGGCTCTTCAGTGGCTAAACGGAAGTTATAGTGTGCTTAAGTGAATCAGAACTCCAGTGTCCTTTACCTTGCACATATGTGTAAATATCTCTGATTTGGTGCATTTTGCCCAGATTTCTCTTATAATTCATGCCATACTACTGGTACTAGATAATGACCTACCAGTATTGAAAAAGGTCTTTGAAAGAGGTTCACTTAACTTCTCCAGGAAATCATCTGGTGTTCCTCCAAAGCATAGAGACACAGGAAACATCTGTAGACTAATGTGGCTCACACCAGACACAGAAGCAGGGCTCATCATTAGTGTCATAATTGCAATCCTGTGCCAGGGAGTTTCCTGTCAGCTTGCTACAAATGAAAGTCATCGAGAGGGGAAGCCTCAGTTAAGAAAATGCTTCCATAAGATTGGGCTGTGATAAAAAAAGAAAGGCTGAGCTGTGTGTGGGCAAGCCTGTAGGGCATTTTCTTGGTTGGTGATTGATGATTCTGGTTCTTTAAGAAAGCAGGTTCAGCAAGCCAGTAAGCAGTCTGGCCTCTGCATCAGTTCCTGCCTCCAGGTTCCTTCCCTATTTGAGTTCCTGTCCTGACTTCCTTAAGCAAACAGAGATGTATAAGTGCAAGCTTAATAAACCCGTTCCGCCCCACCTTGCTTTTTGGTCACAGTGTTTCATCCCAGCCACAGAAACTCTAACTAGGACAGTTGTCAACTTGGCATGCACGGAAAGAAGGAAACTCAATTGAAGGATTGTCTAGATCAGTTGTCCTATGGCCATGTCCACAGGGCATTTTCTTGATTGCTACTTGGTGCAGGTAGGCCCACCCCACTGTGGGTGGTGCCATCCCTAGGCCTACCGGCCTGTGCTTTATAAGAAAGGTCACTGAGCAAGCCAGAGAAGTCATCCTATAAGCAGTGTTCCTCCATGAGTTCTGCTTGTGCTCTTGCTTTCCTTTCCTGCCCCAGCTTCTGTCAATTGACTGTAACCCATAAGTCAAATAAAACTTTTCCTCCCCCAACCAAAAGGTTACTGCTCCATCACAGTAACAGAGGCCAGTTAGGACAACAGGAAAGATGCTTCTGCCAATATGGGCCTCAGTGTTTTTGTTCCGGCTTAGGGAAGGTGTTCAGGAGAAAGATCCAGCCGCAACAGTCCTTCCTGTTACCTGCTGGTTGTTATCAGTGACTCTTGTTTCTTCTGTGAAGGATTTCCTGATGGAATTGCTTCTTTGTTTTAAATTTTGTCAAGGTGTGCTGGCAGCAGACGCTATGACATGGCTCTCTGTGGTCACCACAGCATTTGGAAATCTAGTCAAGGAGTGGATGGATTCCTCATAGAACTTATTGTTAGAAAAATACTTGCAATATTATAAAACATGCTGGGCCAAGTAGTTGTCTACTGAACTCAGAAAGGCTGGTGGCAGTTGTCAGTGATACTTTAAGGTCACAGTTTGGTGGAATTTCAGTTGTAGTAGTGACTAAGGGCTGCGTAATAAGGTGTGGCTATTTAGGAGTTCCCAGTTTCTCTCGTCAGACACATGCTGGGAGGAGTTTGGACTAAGCAAGCTAAAGGTTAGTTGATTTTAGTGTTGTTTCTCGAAACCAAAACCCTTCCAAGGGAGAAAAATGAAAGGCACACTCTAGGAAAGAGAAGCATTGAAGGTTCCTCTTCCTCTCCTAACTCCACTCCCTGATTGGTGTTTAACTCTTTTGTAGGTTTTTGTATTTCAGCAGTAAGTATTTAGTGTCTTAAGTTGTGTAGATAGATGAGTTTGCTGCCTTCTCTAAGGTTACCGCTGTCCCAGGAGCAGTTTCTCATGGCTTGGTGAAGTGAAAGTGAGGCTTTGCATCATCTTCAGCTCTGGATACGGACCTGGTATCTACAGCTGCAAAATTAAGGATTTCAGAGCCACCCTGGAACAAGGCTGTAGTACTAGACTGGTGTCCCACCAAAGATGCCTGTTGTCTATGAAGTGCCTCACTGCTGGAGAACCATCCATTGATAGCTTTCACCTACTTGAAAATTCTATCATTGATGCTTTTATTATAGTTTATTGCTTTTATTATTAACATGTTGTTTTGGAAAGACTATTAATTGGGTACTGAAAGAAAGTAGCTAATATAACGAACTTACTGGCTTCTCTGTTCTTCCCTTCCTTTATTTCTTTCTTCCTTTCTTTAAAAATCCCTCAGATAACATATGTTTCAGAGTTTGTAAAATCTGAAATTTTATATGACTGCAAAATGTTTGTGAAATACTTAGTAAATTGCTATTTACTAATAACTAAAGTACTTCCAGTTATCAGAAAGCTTGTGTTTAGATGCTAGAATTTCTTACATATATTCAAATAATAAGATTTGATACCACGAATATAGACTCTAGACCAACAGCCATGTACTAAATCCAGAAGGTTCAATATTGCATGTATTAATGCCATGGGCTCTTTACAGAGAACAACTATTTTGCTCTGTGTCCTGTAGTCTATGGTAACTTTAATGAATCACACATGAATCTTTAAATGATGAACTTTAATGCAGTAAATCAGGTGAGCACTGAGTTTCTTTGTGGCTAACAAGCTCCCAAGATGCTACAGGTCTGAAGTCTATAATTGGAGCAGGAAACTTATAGACAAATTGACTTCTAATAACTATATTTTTAGATACTGTG